TTTTTTTTTATGAAATTCATAACTAAATGTTCATTAATAATTTAACAATAATTTTAAAAAGTAATTCGTTTATATATGTTATATACTTATGTATATGAATATTTTCAGAAAAAGCAAACTATTGGTTTTAAATGTCCTAGAGGTTCTTCATGTCGTCATGTGTGGAAATGTGCTGTGGAACAAATGTTGTTTTTCACGTAAGTGTATAATTTATTTGAAAATCAAAATATTTTGTTTATAATTTATTTTAAAATATCCTAGAAGTACTTGAATTTCGAAAGAGCTTTTAGAGATGAAGTTTATCTTCTATTAGTAAATGTATTTTCAAGACAGTTTGGATAAAATTAATTTTCAACATAACTATGTTAATTTTATCATTTGTTTTCTTTGTAGTATTTAACTGTCATAGCATTCAAATTTAATTTAATTAATTATACCACTTATTATTATCATAGTAATGAGACAAAAATTATTATCAATTCTTATCTTAACATTCTTACAATTATCAACAGTTATAAAATATAATGTGAGTTAAATTTTAATTAAAAAATATATAAATGGTAGTCAAGAAAAAGTACCCACTCTGCTGCAGTGGTGAAACGACCGTGATCTTTGAAAAGCGATTGCTTCTCGATAGGGTATAATATAATATAATAGGTACCTATAGCCGGTAAGTCGGTGGGTGTGTAAATTRTAAGTTTGCTTATGGATTATTTTAGGTTCGTTTTGCCACTGCTCTGCTGTACAGTTAATGAATGTGTTAATTTGAATTTTATGATACTTCATTTTATAAAAAAAACAATTCTGAGCAGAACCCAATGTTGTCTCCGTCTTACAAGTGCGTAACATACCAAATTTTACGTTCAGCAGATCATGTTTAGCTCCGCGAGTTTAAAATTTAGAGCAGTGGTTTTCAACCTTTTTAACAACGTAGCACACTTCTTCTCCTACACAATTTTCGCGGCACACCAATTCATATAATACGTGATATAATACCTAGTATATATTTAGATATATAATATTTATTTTTTTTTTTGTGGTACACTTCAAGGGCGCTCGCGGCACACCGGTTGAAAACCACTAATTTAGAGTGAATTTTGACCTCTTATAAAAATCAAAGATAACATTACTATTGGAGGCTTCTCATAAGCTTATTATTATTTTTTTAACTTTAAAGTGAGATGAGTATTTTAAGATATTATACAAACAATTTACAATTTTAAAATACTCATAACTCGTATTAAGATTTAAAAAAAAAAAATTAGCTTATGAGAAGCCTCCAATAATAATGTTACCTTTGATTTTTATAAGAGGTCAATTCACTCTAAATTTTAAACTCCCGGAGCTAAACGTAAAATTTGGTATGTTACGCACTTGTAAGACAGAGACAACACATGCGGGTATAACATTCTCTTAAATATATTTATATTTATATCATAGTAATTCATAAATTTGTAAATGAGTTCATTATGGTGGCTTCAATGTATACTCAAGATACGCATCAGCCTTGACGACATTTTCAAATTGACTTAAATGTATTTAAGATATGAAAAAATTTAATTTTACTTAGTACACTATTTTTGCTTGAGCCAGCAATGAACCTTATTATTTGTCTAATAAATTCCATCCCATGGGTATGTGTTAAATAATTTTGTGTATTGGAATGTAACTTTAAATTTTTAATTAAAATCCTCTCTTTAATTTTTCCTAATTTGAGCTTTGCAATCTAATACACTTATAATTTATCCAAGTGACCATGCATAAATATTAATAATCAAGGTTCAGAGTTGAAGATAGCCGTTTTTAACAATCGAAAAATATTTTTTTTTTTAGAAAAATGTGTCATTTAATATTTTAGAAAGTAGATTTATTTATTTTTTGTTAAATTTTCAATTGATTTGATAGTTTTATATACAATATACTTTTTTAACGGTAGAAATCGATAAGATCTTTTGATGACAGTGCGTTATCATCTGTTAATTATTTTTAATGRGCACGCAATACTTGTTACCATTATATTAGTGTGTTATTATTATTCATATTTTACTTATTTGATATTATTTATGTAGTTTTGTTTTTTTTCATTACAAGTATGTTTTAAATTTAATTATATGATGCCTGRCACGGGAAAAAAAATGGGTTTTATTGTTGGCAATTTTTATTAATATCCCTAAATACTTTACAGAATATTTGGTATGACCAGTTAACTTAACATTTATAAAAGAACTCATACTAGCTATTTATAGATTAAAATATGTTCATAAATTTCAAATCATCAATATTTCACAGTAAACAATTTATCTAATATATATTATATGGTTTTTGAATTTTTTTTAGTAAATTTAGGAATTGTTTTTTTATTTATTATATTGCCTCTAAATCCAAACCCYAGTATTAATATATATTTATGAATGTATTTATATTTTATATAAGTAAATTAAACTGTTTTAATTMATTAATTTGCAAAATAAGACTAAAATATTTATTTTAATGTAACAGATTTCCTTCAAGCTCTGATGTTCCTAATGTTGTTTCTGGTGGAGGATTTTTTTCATGGGGTACCAAATTCAAATATAGTGGACGTGTTGAAMGGGAAATATTAGAAGATATGACAATCACCAGAGAATCTCCATCTGTAACACGTGTTGGTAGCCTTAGAAGAAAATCATCAAGTGAACCTCCTACACCTTCTAATCTTGTTATTAATCAAGTTGGTATGTATAGTATATTGTTGATTTTTAATTTTTATTAAAAATATAT